TCCGATGAGAAGAGGATGCAGCACTATCTGAGATCCGCACTGTCTGCTATATAACCACCTGCATCCATTTAAAGATGCAACGCCCCCGGCAAAAGGGACCTTAGTACCGTCGAATAACACTAGTATGTATAGCTAAACACCAACTCAATAGAATGAATAATAATACAAGAGGGGCAGTCAAGAATTCAATAAGGGCTTTAAATATTAGTAGGATCATACACATTTTCAAGACAATTTTCATATTACTAGGTTGGGTGACCTTTAGTACCGATATTCCACAATTCTCAATACCTCCGTATTCTTACACGGAGTCCGATCTCAGCCCGATCGGCTAGGCCATCTCATTTGAGATATTACCATAATTTTATTATAATTTCCGGCACAGTACCACCATGTGTGCGGCATGACGTCCGATCACGGCCCGATCGGCTAGGCCATCTCATTTAAGATATTATCACAATTTCATTCACAATACCACCGTATTATTACACGGAGTCCGATCTCGGCCCGATCGACTAGGCCATCTCATTTAAGACATTACCTTCTTCAGTCAATCATCTCATATCGAACTTCTTTCATATACTTTCAATTCATTGGCACTAGTGATTACGATTACAAAGTCATTCTTGGCACTTGGCCGTATTTCATAGTTCCAGTTCCCTTTTTTACCTTCAAATATCATTAACATTATCGTCATCAATAGGGCTTCCCATTCAAGACATTAATTCACATATGAGCAATTTGAAAAATCTCAGGCACATAGTGGCCTTTCATACAATTTGGCAAGATGACATGATGAAGAATTTAGCATAAACATTGAACAAACATCCTTCAACACAACCACATTAGTAAAATCTAATTCAATAATGATCAAAGACTTACTGCAATTACATGAACACCGTGGGATTCGATTTTAAGAAGAAGGGAGGGGGGAGGGGGGTTTAGCCAACATACCTCAATTGAGCCTCTTAAACTCTAAGATGTTCTGGACTATTAGCAACTTCAATCTATTTTAGCACTATAACAAAATTGAACCAAAATTAGGAAGATGAACATGGTTATGGCTCATTTGAGCATACTATCAAACACTAGGTGTGCATCAATGTTTTAAGGATCTTTTGTGAAAGATTCCATTATTTCCCAACCCACTCTCTACCAGTATTAGCTCACAATCTTCCCACATACTACAAGGATACATGCATGCAAGGCAACCACTTCCATCCCCATGAATTACCTTACTAATGTCCCATTCTAGTTACATTTTAAAATTAAGAGTTTGGGTGGTAGAATCTTACCTCTTAGGAAGAAGACCTAGGTGCCTCCCTTGATAATCTTCAAGATTTAAGTGAGAATTGAAGAACAATTTGATGAAGATCACTTCTTCCTCTCTCTCACTCTAAAAATATCAGAAAATATGCTCAAAATGGTCCATGGGGTGTGTTTTAACGAGATAGGGTCAGGTTTAAAAAACCCAAAAATAGAGCTCCGGAACAAGGTCTATGATCGCATAATCAATATGCGGACCGCATATCGGTCGCATAATTGCTGACCAAAACGACCAAAATTTTGTCTGTGTCTGCGGTCATTATGCGGTCCGCATAACTGTTTTGTGGTCGCGTAATGTACCGCAGAGCAGTTATGCGCTCGCATAGTCGACTGCATAATTGCTTCCAGACTAACCCTCTCCTGCCTCACTTCTGTGACCATTATGCGGTCCGCAGAGTGATTATGCGGTCGCATAATAGACCGCAGAAACGCACCTTTCTGCCAAAAAATTTTCTTTACTTTCCGGTGCATTGTTCAACCCAAAAAGTCCGAGCCACGGCTCGCAAGCTCGCCGTGAAGAATTTCTACAATCCATAAACACGTGAGCCTAGTCCGGCAGCATGAAACATTATTTTTCTTTTGTAAAATTTTACGGGACCTTACAAAACACTAATATCCTGGGATAACTAATCCCGGGATTAAGAATTAGTTATACCGGGATTTTATCCCAATCAAACATGAAATAAATTCATCTCAAATTGATCTCGAAATTAATTATCCATTATCCCTCCAACCAAACGAGCCCTAAAATTTATTAATATAATTCTACCGCTTATACAGATCTAGGTAAAAGGGACCGTACGTTTATATGATGGAAAAATGTCCAAATATACCTCTCTATTTTAATATATTATCTACATTTAACTTTCGTTATACTATCAAGCCAAATTTATCTCAGGATTACACCTATAAATCCCCTTGCACACCAACAATTACAGTTGTGGACATTGAAACTGGTATAAATGGCTTTTGGGGAACCGTTGAGGTTTCAACCAGCATGCTAATTAAAGAATCTTGAAGCAACACTAAAATTGTATGCGTGTGATGTATAGCGTGGCGAATTCGAGCAGTGAAAATAATTATTAATGGTAGACTGTCTATATCACACCCCAAGTGGTGCAACCTTTCCCCGATCCTGCATAAACACAAAATACCTTATGCACCAAACTGTCAAGAGGATATTAGGATGGTACGTGTAGTGATGTTGCTTAAGATTATAGTCAACCTAATAGTTGAGATCGTTATCGTTTGATTTCTTTAGTAAAAACATTAATTGGAAGTTAATAAGCAGGGGCGGCTCAACGATGTTGATGGCCTAAAGCCAAATTGTATTAAGAGGCCTATTTCACAAAATTCATGTAACAGTGAGACACAAAAGATCTTATGTTCTAATCAATTGGTCAATTAAACATGAGAAAGTAGCTAAATCAAAGAAACAAAGTTTGAAATTGGAATGAGAAATCTCAAAGTCATGTGAAAGAAAGGAGAAAAAATTAGAACGGAAAAGGAAAATAAATATACTACTAACAAGACAGAGATTTGTCGCTCTTTACTCACTCATATGTGCATTCTTAACCAAATAAACAAATATTAAAATTTAAACTCTTAAGAGTATAATACATAATAATATAGTATAATATTTTTGGGGCCCTCTAGAATTTGGGGCATAAGGCAATGGCTTGAGCAGCCTTACCCTCCGGCCGGCCCTGTTAATAAGTTGTAGAAAATTACAAATAAAATCGATTTTGCATTTAGAACTCCTTTAGTTTTAGGAGTCCTTATCCTTTGCGATAGGATTATAGCCGATTCCTTTTCTTTGTCTATTTGTATTATATACGCAAATTTATCTTACGTAAAACCTCTTATATATATATATATTCTATTCTAAATTAATAAGGGAGAATAAGCACACAGGAGGTCAACATGCCTACTTGGCATGGTTGAGGGTATTGCAGTAATTTCATGAAAATTGAGAAACATAATTGGTCGAAAAACAATTTTACTGTAGCTATAACATAAACTTTTCAGTGCCTTGATGAAACTACCCTCTGTTATCATTTATTGCAGCAGAGGTGGTGTCAGAATTTTTTGAAGATTTTTGCCCCTGTTTTCATCTTTTATTGCATAGTTGTCTGTAGATATTTTTGTAAAATTGACAAAGTTTGAGCATACTTTTATATCCAGAAAAGCAACAGGTGTGGTATTGGATAAACACCTAGCAATTGTATGTGAAATTTTCTATGCACATATTTTCTCTCTTTTTTTCAATCTCTTTTTCACAGACTAATGTATTCTTAGTTTTTAACTTTTTAAAATTGCAGGAACACTCGAGCTTTTATTTTATTTTCTTATTGGACATACAATCTCTTTATTTATACCTCTACTTTAAATAAATAGAGCAACAACAAACTTAGCATAATCCCACATGTGTGGTGTGGGTAGGATAGTGTGTACGCAGACCTTACCCCTACCTTGTGGAGGCAGATATGTTGTTTTCGATAGACCTTCGGCTCAAGGAATATTGAAAATTAAGTGACAAACAATACCAACAATAATATAATAGGAACAAATGACACAATATGTAATATAAAGAACCAAGAAAAAATAAAATAATTTTATAACAAATTATATATGTACTGATATACACAGTTGAACCGTAGCGAAAGACTAAAATCAATCTACACAAAAAATAAAGACTAAATCTATCTGTGAGTATTAACATGGAAAATACTCAATGTTTTAAAGGAGCTTATAAGAGTAGCAAGCTGATTTTCATTGCTTAAAATGATAATTTATTTTTAAAAACATAACTTTAACAATGCAAATGTTAAGTTATGATAAGCCGTAATAGTTCAAAGACGAATTTTTTATTTTTATTTTAAATTAACATAGTTTATTTCATGATACAACAATAATTGTTGCATATAATATTTATTCTTGTACGCCAAATCTCTGTTGTTACAAATAGTGGGTTATCTAATATTTGATCTTCAGTTAAAAAGAAAATTTCCATGCTTATGCTTGAGGTCACATTAGACTTCAAGAAAATTACCAGAAATTACTTTCTAAATACTACATTAAAAGAAAAGATTTTTTATTGTTCATTTGCAAATAAAATAAAATAAAATATATTCTACAACTTTGAGGTACTTTGGATGGTATAATTATGCTATTTGGTCCTCTAATTACTAAAAGTACTACAACCATGCATTGCCTCTTGTAAATATGCTTAAGCAGAAAAAATATAAAATTATAACAAAAAAAAATAAAATAAACCAGAATATCATAAAATGAGAATGATAAGTAAGAATGAGCCTTGCATCTTTTCAGCTATTGAATATTCTTAATATTATTTTGTGTAATATTGAAAATTTTAATACTTGATGATTACTCTTTATTCTTTTGCTATTTAAAATTTTTAACTTTTGATCCTAATGGTCCACCCAACGATATATATACATGTGTGTTGTGTGTGTATGTTAACCTGTATAATTTATTTATATGGGATCGAAAAAGTAAACTGTGAATCTAATTATCTTTTTATATAAGAATTTAGAAAGAACCTCGACGTGTAATACGTACATGGGCCATCTTTTACTAGTATATAATATATAGGCAAACACTTATGTAGAAGAGCTACTAAATATTTTAGTCTCCATAGACAGAACGTTTTTGAAGTGCCGGCGTCATTAATTTCTGGGCAACTATTATAAAGCTGAACTCTCTATCTTTTTGGATTTTTAAGTTTTCGAGCAAAAACAATACTATATTAGTAGTAGTTTAATATATCATAGCAAAAACAATATATTAGAATCTGGTAAATGTTTCTTTTAGATTTGCTGGGTTTCTTTGCCTATATATCAATATCATACATGAATTTTGGTGCTTTTTGTTTTTTATTGATCTCCGAAAGGCTGCTGCAAGTTCCAACAACTGCGTCTGAGAGTTATGGCTTTCCGCGGGTTGGTTTTCTTAATTTTGTTTATAAACTTCTTTATTTAGCCACTAATTTTGATTATGATCGCGTACTTTTTTGTGTGTGTGCAGACAATTGGCTAATGGTAGTACTGTTGCTAGTTCTTTTCTTGGACAAATAAGGTAAGAATGTGCAGAATTATATTCTTCTTTGGCACCATTGAATTGAATACTGGTCCCATTTATCCTTTTTTTTTTTAATCGTAGAGGATAGGATACTACAAGAACCGTTCGGTTGAGCAAATAAAAAGAAGGCAAAAAAGAAAAAACCTTCGGCCCCTAGTATTAGACGTCACCAATGTAAATTTCTCACTCCACTAGTTTATATTTTGAAAATTTCTTCCATTATAAATTAACCCCTTTTATGTCTTGTCCTTGCGGTTAGCTTCTTTTGTCTCGGACCAGTTGTATCTTCAATTGCGTATGCTACGTGGTACGTACCTCAAACTTGGACCAATTTACACAAAGCTTAATAATACTAGTATATATATACATAAAAGTTAATATTTAACGTATCTATGTTGTCAATTGACTCTCCTTACCGATGAGTGGCTGCGCCACAACCTCATAATTTTATTATCTTCCCATGCATGTTACATCAAAAGTGATACTCAAACTTGGGTTGATTTTATTTCTTGACGGGGCTTTCATGTTGTATACGGCCGAAATAGATTTCGGCCTTCGTACGATTGATCAGGGTCGAAATATAATGGATCGAAGAAAGACTTCGTAATATCGAGATGGGTCCCGAAGATGATACAAACAACCTTCGGATCCCAGGTATAGATCAAACACCGAGTTCGAAGTCATCATCGAGCTCGGGTCCGGATCGAACTATAATGAGATGATTTCGAGCTTAAAGGGCAGAGGCCAACCGAGGCCGAATCCGAATCATCACCTGATCCCGAGTCCGTATCAAGCTCTAGAAGCACTATCGACCGACACCGAGGCCGACCGAGCTCGAGCCCATAGACAAGAGCCGTTGCAAACACACTAAGGGAGAGAATCTCGGCGGGAATAAGAGAAAAGCTGATTTATCATGGAGTCTCCAATATGTATTTTTAATTATATCTAAAGTAGGATCCTCCATTATAAAGAGGATGGCTACATTTCTGTACAAGGCAGTCTTTTTATTATATGGTAATTCAAGCACCATATTCTCATATATTCAAGAACTATTTTTTGAGGCTTTATTAATTGATTCATTTTGCTTAGTCTAAACCATCATCTTCTTTCCAATTTTGCTTATTTTGCATTCTTTGTAATCCATATTTGATATTTCTATTTTGTCCTTACGATTTGTATCAAGCTATATCACATATCCTTAGAACTACATAGAAATTCAACTATATCCATTTTTTGGGTAAACAGTTTGGCGCCCACCGTGGGGCTAAGAATAACAGTGGTTATTTGATACGAATATCTAATATGAATACAAGTTTGAAAATACGGTCCATAATTGTTTGAGACCAAATACAGTAAATAAGGAGATAGGGAAGGAGAGGGAAGGTCTGTGAAACACGGCAGCTACCTCTGAATCTCCAAAAAGTCAACCGTGCGACAGAATCAACACTCTCTATGTCCGGGAATACTTGGATCTGCACACGAGGTGCACGGTGTAGTATGAGTACAACCAACTCAGCAAGTAGCAATAATAAATAAGGAACTGAAGATAGTGACGAGCTACACAGTTATAGTTCATTTCCAGTAATTCCAGCAAAGAATAAACATGCTTTCAAATTCGACAGTTTAAGTCAAATCAATTTTATACAATTCAAGTTCATGTAATTCAGATATAAAATCTTTCAGAGATTTCACAACAATGATAGATAGCAACTAAGTGCAACAACAAATGAAAAGCAAGTACAGCCTCTCAGGGCAACAGTTACTCAACTCGCCACAACAGCTCAACCACTCTGCTCTCAGCCCTCAGCACTCACACTCAATGGGTACCCGCGCTCAATGGGGGTGTACAGACTCTGGAGGGGCTCCTACAGCCCAAGCGCTATAATCTCTACGGGCAACTCACGTGCTGCACTGACAACTCACGCGCTATAATATCCCACACAGACAACTCACGTGTTGCACGACAACTCACGTGCTAAAATATCCATACCTCACCAACAGGCCATCGACCTTACTCAGTCATCAACCTTACTAGTCTCTCGAGCTCTCGGAAATTAGAAAGATCAGCCCAAACAAAGATAACATAGTGTATCAACATAAATCTAGAAAGACTGAGATATAATACGCAAGTAAAATCATGACTGAGTACAAGATAGCAATTAGCAAATAATTCAACAAGTATGTGACCTTTGTGGGTCCCAACATTACTATCACATAGCCTAAGCATGATTTACAGTCAAATTTCTTTAACACATAGAGAACATATAGCTAACAAAAAGTTATTCAACTTTACAGTTTTACGGGACGGACCAAGTCACAATCCTCTCGGTGCACGCCCGCACGCCCATCACCTAGCATGTGCGTCACCTCTAAAATAATCACATGACACAAAATTCGAGGTTTCATACCCTCATGACCAGATTTAAAACTGTTACTTATCTCAAACCGTGTAATTCTTTATTTTGCAATGTCTTTTTCTCGTGAATTGGCCTCCAAACGTCTCGAATCTAGCTACAAATAATTCGATTCAGTCAATAAAATTTATTGGAATTAATTCCATAAGAAAATGCTAATTTTTCATAAAAATACGAAATTTAGCTCAAACATCGCCCATGGGACCCACGTCTCGGATCCCGACAAAAGTTATAAAATTCGAAAGCTCATTCAACCACGAGTCTAACCATACCAATTTTACTAAAATCCGACCTCAACTCGACCCTCATATCTTCAATTTAAACCAAAAGGGTTTTCTAAATTTTCCAACTTGATTCACCCAATAAATGATAAAAACAACCATGGATTCGGGTAATTTAACCAATATTGAGTTAAAAATATTTATCCCATTTTTTTCTTTGAAAATATCCCAAAAATCGCCTCTTCTCGAGCTCTAATCCGTCAAAAATAAAAAATGGGACTTCGTCCCATTTTCAGAACTTAAACTCTCTGCCCAGTCATTTGCTCTACGCGATCGCGGACAAACACACGCGATCGCGAAGCACAATTTTTCAACTGCCCAAATTAACTCTATGTGATCGTGGATTCCCTCACGCGATCGCGAAGCACAGAGTTCCCAGCTCTACGCGATCGCAGCCCTCTTCACGCGATTACATAGAGAAAATGCGTGACCTCTACTTCTGCTCCGCTTATTCTACGCGAATGCAACCTTAGCCACGCGTTCGCGAGTCATAAAATCCCAGAGCTACGCGATCGCATCCTTCTTCACGCAATCGCGTAGAACAAAACTCAGCAGCCCCCAATTAACCCTACGCGATCGTATAGAGAAAATCCTTCAGTGCCCAACTAAGCCTACGCGATCGCGGACATTCTCATACGATCGCGTAGAAGGAAACCAGTGACAGAAAACCAGCATTGTTCAGCTGGAATGCCAAGTCCAAAATTAATCTGTTAACCATCAGATACTCACCCGAGGCCCCCAGTACCTCAACCAAATATATCATCAAGTCCCATAACATCATACGAGCTTAGTCGAACTCTCAAATTACCTCAAACAATGCTAAAATTACGAATCATACCCCAAATCAAGCCTAATGAACTTTGAAATTTCAAGTTTCCACAAATGATGCTGGAACCTATCAAATCAAGTCCAATTGACCTCAAATTTTTCACACAAGTCATAAATGACATAAAGGATCTATTAAAATTTTCAGAATTGAATTTCGACCCAGATATCAAATAGTCAACTCACCAGTCATACTTCCCAAAAATTCAACTTTCGCCATTTCAAGCCTAATTCTTCTACCGACCTCCAAATAATTTTTCGGACACGATCTTAATCCAAAATCACCATACGGAGCTATTGGAATCATCAAAACTTTATTCCGGGGTCGTTTACACATAAGTGATCATCCAGTCAACTATTTCAACTTAAGCTTCCAACATGAAATTCATTCTTCCAAGCTAACTTCGAAATACCTTAAAACTAAAATCGACAATTTACACAAGTCATAATACCTCGTAGGAAGTTATTCAAGACTTAAAATAGTTGAAAGGAGTGTAAATTCTTAAAACGGCCGGTCGGATCGTTACAATTTATTTTAAACACCTCACTATAATATTACTACCACTCACTATTTATCTCACAGACAACAATCTGTAGATTACTCTCACTACTTTTCTTTCTGCTTAGCTTCTCTCGTTTTATTTTTGGTGTGTCAGAATTGAGAGAATGAGGCATCTATTTATAGCAATCATAGCTGCCCAAGAAACCAATCAGATAAGCTGGTTCATTGCAATTTGCAATTGCAAACCACTGGCGCCCACAATTTGTTTTCTTTCCGTCAATCACTCATCTTTCCTTTTCTTTTATTTACTTTAGTAGGTGAGGTATGGGCCCCACAAATCTCTCCCTTAATTTTGATTTTTCTTCTTCATTCCAAGTCTTGTTCTCAATCTCTAGGCTTTGTAAAAATGTCTGCAACTTGATCATGAGATTTCAGATATTTGAGCTCGACTTCCTTCTTGGAAATGCATTCTCTGATGAAGTGACACCTTGTATCTATATGCTTGCTTCGATCATGATACACCAGATTCCTGGCAAGTGCCTTTGCGGATTTGTTGTTAATACAAATCTCTGTAGCTTCAATTTGTGGCAAATTGAGCTCCTTTAATAATCTTCTCAGCCAAATAGCATGACATGTACAAGATGTTGCTGCTATCACTACTAGAAATTCGGCAAAAAATCGACCAAGGTCGACCGGCCAACTTTGGTCGGTCAAACAACCGGCCAAAAAACTGACCAAGGTTGGTCGGTTTTTCAAAATATTTTTTTTATATATTTTTTTTACGAAACCGACCAACCTTGGTCGTTTTCTTAGGCGCAAAAATGCGGGAAATTTTTTTTGAGTCCCGCAAAATTTATTTTTCGAGAAATTGACCAACTTTGATCGGTTTATCAACTAAAATAAATAAAAATTAATATTAAAAAAATCGACCAAAATTGGTCGGTTAATTCGGCCGGTCATTTTAAAAAACCGACCAACTTTGGTCGGTAATTTTATTTTTTAATAAAACCAACCAACTTTGGTCGGTTATTTTCATGCGAAAATATAATTAAAGAGTATAAATCAAATAAAAGACAGTCTTAAAATAAAATGCACCAATGGTCTAGTGGTAGAATAGTATCCTGCCACAGTACAGACCCCGGTTCGATTCCCAGTTGGTGAATCTTTTGATTACATAATTAAAAAACCGACCAACTTTGGTCGTTTTTTTTGCAATATTTATTTTTTGAATTTAATTGACCGACCAACGTTGGTCGGTAATTTCCAACCAACTTTGGTCGGTATGCCTTTCCGACCGTCAAAATACCTTTCACACATAAATAGTCACATTTTGGTCGATAATTAGCCATAACCGACCAACTTTGGTCGACTTTTTTGGTCGGTGTTTAGCGGATTTCTAGTAGTGTATATATTCAGCTTCACAAGTTGAGAGAGTAACAATGGATTGTTTCTTTGAACTCCAAGAAATAACAGAATTACCCAAGAAAAACACAAAACTAGTTGTGCTTTTTCTATCATCAATATCTACCGCATAATCACTATCACAAAATCCCACAAGATTGAAATTACTAGAAGAAGAATAAAATAGCCCAAAGTCAATCGTACCTTTTAGGTAACGAAGAATTCTTCTAGTGACTTTCAAATGGGTGGAGGTAGGAGCTTCCATGAAGCGGCTTACTACTCCAACTGCAAAGAGTATATCTGGCCTGGTACAAGTCAAGTACCTCAAACTTACCACAAGACTTTTAAAAAATATGGGATCAACATTTTCACCTTCATCAAACTTGGATAATTTTGTCCCACTCTCCATCGGTGTGTTCACGGGGTTACAATCAAGCATGTTGAACTTCTTCAAGATCTCCTTCATATAGCTTTCTTGAGAGAT